GAGCAGGGAGCCCGATGCGGGACTCGATCCTGGGACTCCAGGATCATGACCCGAGCCGAAGGCAGTCGCTTAACCAACTGAGCCACCCAGGCGCCCAATTTCCCCCATTTAATTTTGAGCAGATATGTTTCTTCATTCTCAGTCTAATGTTCCTTAAGATGGCAATAGAGTTTTAGAACCAAAGACAGGTAGTTCAGCTCCGTATCTTACAGACAAGAAAACAGAATCAGAAATGAGACGTGTGTTGTCATAGGACTGCCTGCTAAGGGTCAGAACGGTGTCCAGAGCTCAGGCTGCTTTTCAGGGCCGGCTGGTGGGGAGGGGTCATAGTCCCAGAGGAGAGTATTTTGAGAATTGCTGTTTAATACAGTAAGATTGCTGTGTACCAAAGGGTGTGAGGGGGTGTAAGTTTCATTGATTTATGAAATGTCCTTTTTCTTTGTGTAGTATGAACCCAGAGGACCTGGTCGGCCCTTGTACCAAAGAAGAATCTCATCTAGCTCAGTCCAGCCTTGTTCTGAAGAAGTAAGCACTCCTCAAGACAGTCTTGCTCAGTGTAAAGAGCTTCAGGACCATAATAACCAATCTTCTTTCAACTTTTCATCCCCGGAGTCCTGGGTAAACACCACCTCATCTACCCCCTATCAGAACATTCCGTGTAATGGATCCAGCAGGACAGCTCAGCCGAGAGAGTTGATAGGTAAGACAGAGTTGGTGGGTTGTTAAAACTGCAATTTTAACTACTCAGCTCCTGGATGTTGGAGTTTTTCTTCTCCTCCCCCAGCCCATTTACATTATTATCTTGGAATAATATTTAATGCTCATAGCTCATAGGTGTGTCTCAGGCATACAGTGTTAATTAGGACTATATTGAGTCCATATTTAGGGTCTGGAAGGGAAGTAGATCTGTCTCTGGGAGCTCATCACTTTGATCATTTTGACCTGTGAATGAATGAAAGAAGTAATGGAATTTAAAGTATATTTCTAAATAGAATCACCTTTGCTTGGGAGAAGTTTGTTTTCTGGCTTTTTATTATTTTATTTTATTCATTCATTCATTCATTCAGGATTAGGGGTGGGAGGAATTGGTTGGGTCAGTTTTCAAGGTTTTATTGTCAATAAAGTCGTTTGCTACACAGTAGAGTTTGGCCAGGAGAGAAACTAATAAAGTCCAACATTTTGAGATTTAGAAATCTTGTGTTTATTCCTTGTATTCTAATGAACTGAGAAATCCAAAGCTAAAGAGAAAAAAAAAAAAAGGCATAGGAAGACATTGGAATGGCCCTATACTGTATTGTTCAGTGGAAGTTTAAAGTCTTTAGCCTTAAACTTTTATCTTTCCTCCCTTTCCTCTTTTTTTTATATTAAATGTAAGGAAACAAATGATACTATTTGAGTTCTCCAACCTGTAGCCTTCTCTTTGTAGGCTGTAGACGTTGATCTTTGTGAACAAGCCTGTGATCTTTGTTGGATGAATTTCTGCCCTGGTGGCATCAGCTTTTGTATTTGAATTTAATTTTGTTCATCTTTAGAATGTGAATCTATTGTTTCTGTAACTGGCCCATTTTTGAGTATGTGCCATATAAGCATATTTTTAGAACAATAGACATAATAGGACAAAAGCATTAGAAAGATTTTGGTTTTGTTTCCTGGCAAGAGACATTGTCATTTTAATTTTTAAACATTCATTAATACCTACAATGTATAAGCTGCTGTATTTTTCCTGGGGTTGCTTTGTCATTTTAAAGGTCTGACATATATACACTCATGTTATCTGACTTTCTTGAGAAACTTCTCAATTACAAATCAGTGATAAGGATTTGTTAATTTTTAGTTGTTTTGTTTATTATCATTTATTTATTTTTTA